ACCTCTACTTTTTGCATCTTGTAAGGCCTTAATACTGATTCTAGCTTTTTTCCCTTGCCAAATAAATTTAAGAGTTACCTTATTTATATCATCAAAAAATTTTTTTGATAATTTTATTGGGATTGTCTGGAATAAGTAAAGGAGTTTTGGTAAAATGTTCATTTTGATTGTGGCAATCCTGCCCAGTAAAGAAAGCTGCAACTTATTCCAAGATTCTAGATCTTTCTTAATTTGCTGTAACAGTTTATCATAATTATTCTCTTTGAGTGATTTACTATGTGGTGTTAACCATATGCCTAAATATTTGACCTTTTTTGTTGCCTGTATCCCCATGGTTTTTTCTAATTCTTTCCTCTGGTTCTCTGTTAGATTTTTAGTCAGTAATTTCGTCTTATTTCTGTTGATCTTTAATCCTGCTACTGAACCATATTGTTCTAGTTCTTTTATTAGATTATGTCCTTTTTCCATGGGATCCTCTAGGAAGAAAACCATATCGTCTGCAAACGCCTGTAATTTATATTCCTCTGCCTTGACCCTAACCCCTTGGATTTCAGGATTTTGTCTTATCCGCGTTAACAATGATTCTAAAGCAAATATAAATAAGAGGGGTGAGAGAGGGCAACCCTGTCTAACGCCCTTTTCAATGCTTAGTGGGCCTGTTTGTTCACCATTAATTAGTATATTGGCTTGTTGGGTATTGTAAATTGTTGTGATAATATTCTCGAATTTAGTGCCCAGATTCATGTTATAGATTTTTTGTATTAAAAAGTGCCAATGTAAGTTATCGAATGCTTTCTCCGCATCTAGAAACAAGAGTGTAAATTGTTTCTCTGGATGAGCTTCATAATATTCTAAGACGTCAATAACGGTTCTTAAATTGTTTTTAATTTGGCGGAATGGAAGGAAACCATTTTGGTCTTCATGAATGTATAAATTTAAAACTTGTTTTACTCTATTCGCAATAATTGAGGTAAATAATTTATAATCGGCGTTTAAAAGTGAGATTGGTCTATAATTGTTGATATATCTGGCATCCACATCCTCCTTCGGAATTAACGCAATCAACGCCTCCCTCCATGAGTCTGGCATTTTGGCAGCCGAAATTACTTCGTTAAACACTTCCAGCATCAGAGGCCCTACTAAATCTATTGTGGCTTTATACAATTCTACTGGAATCCCATCTGGACCAGGGGATTTATTATTACATTGATTTTCCATTGCAGATTTTAACTCAGACCATGTAATATCCTTATTTAGTAATTCTTTGTCTCCTTCCCCTATTGTTTTATCATTCGTATTCTCCAGATAAGTTCTTATTTTATCCTCATTGATTTCTTCTTTTTTATATAATCTTTGGAAATAGTTTAATATAATATCCTTTTTCTTCTCAATCTCATGTTGTGGGATGCCTTTCTCGTCTATTAATTGGTGTATCAATCTCTTTTCTTTTTCTTTTTTAAGTTTATAAGATAGCCATCTTCCTGGTTTATTGGCGTGTTCAAAATAATTTTGTTTGGACCTTCTCAAGCTAACTTCTATTTTATCTTGTTCAATTAAATTCAGCTTATGTTTGGCTAGTATTAACTGATTTTGTAGTCCTTGAGTCTTAGGGGTTTTTTGTAATTGTGTTTCTAAGTCTTGGATTTGTTGTTGTAACGCGTTTTGTTGGGCATAAATTCTCTTGTTTCTCATAGCATTATAGGAAATTGTTGTGCCTCTTATAAATGCTTTCATAGTATCCCAAATGTTCTGTTTTGAAGTTGTTTCATTATTATTATCTTTTAGAAAATAGTTTAGCTCCTCTTTCAGTTTATTAATATACTCTTCTTCGTTTACAATTTGGTTATTTAGTGTCCATCTTTTTTTTATTCGTCTCCTATCCCTCCAAATTAGCTGTATTGGGTTATGATCAGCCCATTCATTCGGTAGAATTTTGATTTCTTTTATTTCATTAACCAAGTCCAAATCCATCCAAGCCATATCTATTCTGGTCCAAGTCTTATGTGGGTTAGAATAATATGTAAATTGTTTTCTTTCAAGATTCCGTTCCCTCCATAGATCTTTTAAATTGAACTCTCTCAACATTTCCTTACATGCCGCAGAAAGTTCCCTTTTCCCCTTCTTGTTTTTCCCCATATTACTATGGTCTTTCTGGTAGTCTGCAATGGAGTTAAAATCGCCAATCAAGCAAATGTTTCTTTTTTCAAAGCCTACTATTTTTTGGTGAAGGTGTTTAAAAAATTTCCCCTGGTCATCATTTGGGGCATAGATTGCTACAAGTAAAAATGTGATGTGGTTTATCCAAACTTGTATAACCAGAGTTCTTCCTTCAGGATCCGACCAGATTAATTCTGCCTTTACATCTTGTTTTACATAAATTGCAATTCCTTTTTTCTTGTGTTGGTCGGCCGGTGCTGTAAAAAGTTTACCTAATTTTGGACAAATTAGATGTCTTTCGTCATTCTTCGAAATATGTGTCTCTTGAAGACATATTATATCTGCGTTATGTTGAATAAGTTTTGAGAATATCCTTTTTCTTTTTAATAATGAATTTAATCCGTTTATATTGATGGAGAGCAACTTCTTCCCCTCCACCATTTATCTACTTCTGCTTAGATTTTTGCCTAGTAATGATTCGGTTCTCTTGTTGTTGTTGTTGTGGAATTTGCTCTTCTCTCCCATGTTGTGGATTATCACTTCCTGAAATTGGAGAAAGTCGTTCCTTTTGGGTTCTGTGATAATATCGGACCTCCTGTGGTCTTATTTTAGGTTCTTCTTTGGTGGGTTGACTATTCTTATCTGTGAGCTGTTGATGAAAAACTTGGGCCTGTTCTATCGATTCTATTTTGATTTTCCTCTCTTTCCATGTAATTAACATCCCTTCCGGGATTAACCATTTAAAATGGATTCCTTCTTTATTTAGCCTTGCAGGAAGCTATATCTAAAATGCAAGAAATGATGATTAAAAATCACAAGGAAACTAGAGCAGATATAAGCGAATTGAAAGATGAGATGGGGAAACTGAAGGCTGAAATGAAAGCGGATATAGCGAAGGTGGAGGGTAAGATAGGGTCTCTACAGCAGGCCATGGAGAGAAACGAAGTGAAAATAAAAGATATAGAGAGTAGAACAACACGCATGGAGACTAACTTTGAAAGGATGGATGAGGAATTTAAAAATGTACTTAGAGAAACGGAAGACTCTCGATCTCTGATCGAGATGGACAAAGCAATGGCGTATTTAAGATTCCAGAATGTGGCGGAAGCCAAAAATGAAGAATTAGAACATTTGATGGCAGAAATATTGGCTGAATGGCTAGGAAAGGAAAAAGATGATCTAATTAAAGAGTTTGATGAGGTATATAGGGTTAGCACAAGCTACGCCAGGCGTAACAACTGTCCAAGAGAAATTCATATCCGCTTCTCTAGGAGATGTCTGAGGGATTTAATTTTGAAAATGTCTAGGGAGGAAACAATATCATATAAAGGCAGAGAAATTAGGATTTTAAAACAAATTCCAAAGAGAGTGAGGATGATAAGACAAGATTATAAATTTTTAGCTAATGATTTAAGCAACAGAATCTTCTTTAGAGCCTAAGCATGGCTGCTGGGCAAATAAGAACCAGGAAGGAGAGCTCTCTGATGCTGTTGTGCTCTCTTCTTGCAACTGTTCCTGCTGTCCAAAAAGAGCAGCTTGTTCCAGAATGCACTCTGCCAGTATAAAATAGTACCAAAAGGCAACAGGCATAAGACAGGCCATGGTTGCTCTTTCTTACTTGGGAATCATGTGGTGAACAGTTATAAACATTCAACTCTAATTCTCTTGTTTATTCAGATTCTGTAGCATTCTCATTTTATATTTGGCCACATTACCCAATCAGACTCAAAGGTGCTTTTTCAAGAGAGAACTGGACTTTCTGGTCTTTCATTGAGAAGTTGGAGCTGTGCTTTCTGCAGGATGCTTTTTGCCCTGTATCTCTTCACTATTGAGGACAGGCACAGGCTGTTGAGGATGAGTCTATACTGTCTGCATCTCAAACTGAAACACAAATGAGTCCTGTAGACTGCAATTTTTCTGGAAATCTGTTCATACTCCTGCAACAGAAAGTCCAGTTGCCTGTTGAAAAAGCACCTTTGGGACAACCATGATCTGGATGACTGAGAATCTCCATAGACATTTAGCCGATCAGACACACCCCCTCCATTAGGAAATACAGGTGGCGAGATGCAGGATCCTTTGTGTTGGCATCATACCAATTTCTGGTGCGAATATGGGGCTATAAAGAGGACATGTTGGGCTATATATGAGTTGGAAGAAAATGAAGTTGGGCTTCATCTTGTTATCTGAAATAGAACATTTGATACATTTTCCATCTGAAATTTTAATAACTATACAGAAAAAAAGATCCTGTTTATGGATGTTGCTTGGACAAACATCTACCTATTTTGTTTATACAAGTTACCTGAATCAGTTATTCTGTGCTTGAAGTGCTTGTAATTCAAACAGTTCTGCCCATCCTTAGCAGATTGAGAAAGCCAGTTTAGTGTAATGCAGTGGTTCTTAAACTAACCCAGTAACCTCTTTTCCCAAGCAGGAAAAGATCCTGGACTGCTGTTTTATACAAATAACTGGGCAGCAACTGCAGCAATCCCAAAGTAGATTCTCATTCACAAACAAACATAAGTTGCTTCATTACCTCAGAATCCACTAAAATTAGCTCCAATTTAAAAAGCACTGATCTGTTAGCTAAAACAATAGACTAAGAGCAGAGAAATATGAGTTCTACTCCTATATGGAAGTCAACCAGATAAATTAGGGTCAAACACTCTGTCTCAGTCCTAGGGAAAAAAAGCAATTGCAAACGACTTCTATAAATGTTGCCTAAAAACTGACCTGTGGAAAGAAAGGGAAAAAAAACATCCAGAATGTAAGCTTTTCAATTTTGCAAAGTTTTTGATTTGATGTACTTTTAGCTAATTCATGCTTGCTTTGTTTCCTAGGGAAAGCTTGACAGAGCTGTTCCTCTGTATGAGCTTGCTGTTGAAATCAGACAAAAATCCTTTGGTCCAAAACATCCAAGTGTGGCTACTGCTTTAGTAAATCTGGCAGTTCTTTATTGTCAAATGGTAGGTTTCCTTTCCTTAATAAAAAAAGGTAAAATGTAGGATGATACATACTGTTTTATCCTAAAACTCCCGTCTTTCCAGTCATATTTTTCCTAGCTGTTTAAAAAAAAATCAGAGGAAGGGCACATTATACAGGAATGGGTCAGTGCCTAGCCAATTTTGAATTTGAAATTCATGGAGAAACTTAAACTTTCCCCAAATCTGTCCTTCTCATGGACAGAGGGAGAAAAGAAGGATCTTATGTTTGCATATAATTTTACACTGTAATAACTGCTAAAATTTGGGGAGTGGGGATATTTACTTCCGTAGGTATAAATCTTGTCCTATAGGCAGGCAGACTGATTTCCTGGCTTTAAAATGAATTTCTGTAAATATTTTAAAAATACATGCCTAATTTTGTTTTCTTCTCATTTTTAGAAAAAAAATCAGGAAGCGTTGCCTTTGTATGAACGTGCACTGAAAATTTATGAAGACAGCTTGGGGCATATGCATCCTCGTGTAGGGGAAACATTAAAAAATTTGGCTGTGCTAAGGTATCAAGTCAATGTGTTTGTTCTAGTCTAGATAAATTGTCATTAATTATAGCAGCCCCTCATATTTATATTGATGATATAATTGAGACATTTTGAATTCAAGACAGATGGCACTGAATATCAGAAGTGTTTCTGCAGCCATATTTTGAAGCCTTTCTAGCGTATGCAACATCTAGCTAAGGGTGAGGCTGCATATGACTGAATGACTGAATAAAAAATTCTCCATATTGTTGAATCCAGGCTGGAATGGGAAAGATGTGGATGTTTCTGTGTATACAGATCACTTGGTATGAGGATTAGGTACTAAATGTAGATTATGAATCTTTAACAGAATAACAGAGTTAAAAAGTTCAACCTCCTGCTCAAGCAAGAGACTTTTATTAAGACTTTATTAAGTCCTACTTTCTTTTCTCCCCAAAGCTATGAAGGGGGTGAATTTGAGAAGGCTGCTGAGCTCTATAAGAAAGCCATGGAAATTAAAGAAGAAGAAATGCTGGTAATGGGTGGAAAAGCTACTTCCCATCACTCATCAACTGGAGATACACTCAGCATTAAAAGTGCTTTTTCTCACAACATGTATTTTCAACATGGACCAAGATAATGGAAAGTCGTATATTAATCATTAGAAGAAAATATTTTTGCTGAAAAGAAATAAGGTTCCATTTTAAATGAGTAGAAAAAGTGAAGAGAAAAAAAGTTAAAGATTTGTGTTAGTTTATTAACACTGATTTTGAGCATATTATATTCAGCTAAGACTTTTTTTAAATATTTGGCTAATATTTTTAAAAAATTATCTGTTTTGCCAGGGGGTGCCAAACTCAATTTCATTGGCTGCATTAGCATTATGCCTGCCCTTGGGGGGCAGGTGGACGTGGCTAGGTGGGCACATCCCAATTGGGTATGGCCACCTTGATGGGAAAAGCGGGGAATCCCCATCCCTAAGAGGCAGCTGGCAGTCCGAAGCCTGTGCAGCACAGCTGGAAGCATCAGGACCGCTGAGCTGACACTCCAAGCAGCAGACAGAGGCACCTGATCAGGCCTGTCAGATGCTCAGGCAGCCATATATCCTGCAAGATGTGCAGTCACCTGCTCCATCCCAGCTGCAGCAGCCGCAGGCAAAAGACAGATTGTGGGGTTGCGCTGAGGCAGCCCAGCTGGTTACCACCATGCTGCAGCCCGTGTGCTTGGCCCCCTCTGTCAAACCTTATCCTATAGCGAGCCCGCTGCTTGTCCCCCAGCACCGATGGCCCCGGTGATGGGAAGAGAGAGTGGGGAGCAGACTCTGGAGGACGAGGTTGGAGGGAGGGGACTGAGTGTCCCACATGTGCAGCAGAGTTAAAAGACAAACTTGGACAGATCTACCCCCGCCCTGCCACCTCCCTCCCCTTGCCTCATGGCAGCAGCACCGTAGCAAGTGAAGGGAGAGGCACACAATTCAGTCCGGCTGCCTGTCCTATCCCAGCTGTGGTGGCCACAGGCAAGCAAAGTCAGACAGTGGGAATGGAGTGTGTGGGTGGGTGGCCACCCAGCCCTTCCAATGGGCTGGATCACATGCTTCCTCATGCCTCTGCCTACTGCTTAGGGCCAGTGTGGCGGTTGCAGCACCCCAGACCCACCTCCACTTTGTGTCCTGGGGAGCCCCTCAACTGATGGGCTATTGCCAGACACCATTGGCATGCTCACTGCCTCCTTTGCATGCCTGGGGCATCTTGCAGGAACATTAAATCTTTCACTGTTTCTGGGATGGCCCTGCGGGCCAAATTTCAGCCTTGTATTTAACATGTCTGGTTGAAGGCTTTGTTCCTGCCCTCAAACAATAAGGCTGGTGCACATGAGCAAGCAGTGAATCTGGGCCATGGACGGTGTTGTTTCCTGAGCCTAGCCTTAGATTCCATAGGGCTGCCCTGCCACCTCAGCCCCGCCCCCTGGTCACATGCACAGGAAATGGTGAGTGTGCAAGCACTGGAGTCCTGGCCGAAAGTGAAGCGCTCAGCCTGCACTCAGCCTTCGGAGTAACATGGTCCCCTGGGGACACCAGACACCCCCCCATGCATGCACACCTTGTGTGCGCACCCAAGGGGCAGGGCTGGGGCAGCCGCTCGTGGGCTCCAAGGAAGTCCTGCAGATCTAAGGTTGGTCACTTTCTGGCCCAGATGGCTCCCAGCAGTTTGTAAATCAATGCCTGGTCAGCAGGGCAACCCTGCAGGGCAGATCTAACCACCTCGTGGGCCAGATCTGGCCCATGGGCCTTGAGTTTGACACCCCTGCGTTATGCTATTAATTTTTTCTACCTTTTTTATTTAAAAACTCGAGTTGTTCTGTCCTCTGTTAAGTAAATAGAAATCATTTAGTAGCCATTTGGATTTTTGGATTGCCATTTTTTTTTGTTGCAGAAAGAAGTTACAAATGAAACTACGAATTAACAGAACAATTATAGTTTGCATATTATTGTAGATATGTAAATCTCAATGAGGTTTATTTTTAAAAATTGAATGTATAGTCAAAATTAAGTATTTGGCTGTTTATACAGATGAATATAGGTAGTCTTGTTATGACAATAATTGACCCTAAAATTTTGCTAAGTGAGGAAATTTTTAAGTAACTTTTGCCCCATTTTAGGACTTTTTGTTAAGTGAATATATTGTTGAGATATTGTTAAGTGAATCACTGCAGTGTTAAGTGAATTATGTGATCATTAAACGAATCTGTCTTCTCCCATTGACATTGCTTGTCAGAAGCTAGATGGGAAGGTTATAAATGGTGGTCATGTAACTCCAGGACAGTGCAACTGTCATAAATAAATGTGAGTTGCCAAGTGCCCAAAATTTGATCATGTGACCATAAGGTTACTACAACTATCATTAAGTGTGAAAACTGGTCCTAAGTCACTTTTCAGTGCCATTATAACTTTGGTCACTAAATGAATATTATAAGTTGAGGACTACCTATAGTTGAGATATAAAATAGGAAAACTAGATCTGTATAGAAAAATTTAAAAATAATAACACGAATGTCTCATTGCTAAAAATGTAAACTTTGGCATAGAAAAGAACTTAACTTAAAAATAATCTGGTTTCATTTGTGTCCAATACTAACTACCGTATTTCCCCATGTATAAGCACCCCCTTTGTATAAGCCACCCCCCCAATTTTTGGACTGTGAAGTTTTGAAAAAAATATTTTATTAGAGAAACAAGTTATGAAGAAAGAAAATTTACAAAGAAACAAAATTCGACGTCTAGATCTACAACTTCGGTCATGACGCCGAAAGCGGTGCGGGCGACGCTAGCAATCTACGCATCGGAACGAGAGTAGGAACGAAGCATTCAGGCCAATGCCTAGCGTATGCATTTCTATCGCGTACTCGCACTCGTAATCGTATCATCACGTACAATTTTTACAAAAAAGTATAGCATACTGCTGGAAAACCAATTTATTCCTACTTTATTATTTTATGCATTTTTCACGTATAAAAAGTGTACCTGCTTTGTATATGCCACCCCCCTACTTTTTGGGCTTGAAAATTTTGGAAAAAAGGGGTGGCTTATACATGGGGAAATACGGTATATCCTATAGTTTAGTATTATACAGGTATGCTTACCTACTTTCCTTGTAATTTTTTATGCTTTTCTAAGGACTGGGATATCACTATTGTTAATGTTCTTTAACTGTACTTTAGTGCCCAAATATGGGCTTGGTTTACTGAAAAAAGCCGATATCAAATATTGGTTTAGGAAAGTGAAGTTTCAATGAACTATAATAAACATTATCCAAAGTACAGAGTTGCATTTGCACTTTTTATTGTACTTAATTGAATTAAATTTTTTATTTTTGGGATACTAGTTGTATAGTATAGATGGATGTCTGCTGGGAAGGGAGTTTGGGATTAAATAAAAACAGATACATAATACATGGCAACCAGTGGTGGGATTCAGCCGGTTTGCACCAGTTTGGCAGAATGGCCAGACTAGCATGCATTCACATACCTCCAATCTTTTGCTTGCTGCAGTCTGATTTGCAGCAAGCAAAAGGGGTTGGAGGCATATGAATGCACGCTGGTCTGGCGCCTCAAGAAACCTTTCCTTTAGTTCAAACTGTAATAACTCAGGTCTTTAATCTGGTTTTTGTAGCTGCAGCTCAGACATGTGTTTTATACAGATGTGGGAGCATTTACCAGCTTCTGCTCTTGCTTGTTTACAGAGTTAAGTGCACACGATAGATCAGAAGACCTCCAGTAGCAAAACTGATCGTTCCATTTCAGAGATAAGGGTCCACTTTCTCAATTGCTTTTCTAAATAACCTTTTTTATTTGCAAGTAGGAAAAACAGCCGAGCCAGGTGGGGGACAAAAGAGTTTGAATACAAGCCCTTTCCTTCTTTTTGTGCTGATTTCCTAAATTGAGTTTTTAATATCTTGCAGAAGAAATAAATGATGTTACAATTTTGCCCATTTGGAAGCGGTACAGCCCATTTTATGACTTTAGAAAAAAAAATTTTTTTGTTACGTCATTGAAATTGCACGTTTAAACCTGGCATTTTTGAATCAGGCAAAAAGAGCATTTTTCTAAACTTGTTTTTTTTTTCTTATTTATTCCTATGTGTCCATCCTTTTCCCTAAGAATGGGTACCTCTAAATTGAGGTGTAGACACAGGGTGTGTGGAGAGTTCACACATTTTGCACACAATGCCTCCTTTCTCTGGCTTAATCTCTCCAGACTTCATTCCAAACCCTTAACTGTAGTGTCTAAATAACTGTAAGTACCAGAAACTGTCATTCATACTTTTAAAAAAAAAATCATTTAGTTTCAAGATAGTATTTATTAATCTAGGAAAGGGGAAAAAAACTTTTTCTGAGATGCCAGACGAATGTGCATTTATGTGCCTTCAACCCCCTTGCTTGCTACAAAGCCAGATTGAAGCAAGGAAGGGACTGGAGGCCCGTGAATGCATGCCAGTTTGGCCAGTTTGGAGCCAGTTCACTGAACTCAACAAAAAATTGGGTATTGGTTCTGCTGAACTTATAGTTCAATTATTTGAATCCCACTACTGATGATAACAAATACATGTCATGCAAATATTGCTGCTTAAAATGTACACTTAGATCTGTTTTTGGGGCACAAGTATGTAACAGTGGCAATTATTGGTGACATCTCAGCGTACATCATTGTTGCATGATTGTCATGTCTTCAAGCCATCACTGAATGTATGTCTGAATTTTGTTCTAATAGAACATTGTACTATTAAAAACTAAACAAAAAAGTAGGTCTCTTATGAAATGTTCATAACTGAGCTATATGCTACATATCATCTATTTTCTTTTCACCAATTGCCTTTAGTGGTATATTTGTTTGAATCCTTTTTATACTTCAAAAGCTAGGAAATACAGATATTTAAACTTGTTCTGAATATTCAGTCTTACATAAATGAATTCATGACAATTTTGAAAATGAATTATTATTTTTGTTTTCTTTTAACAATTAAAAAAGACTAATTTGTCACATTAAAAATCCAAATCTCAGTTAAATGGAAAATTATCAAGATAAAAACTGTACAGGTAGTTTTCAACTTACGACCAAAATCAAACTCAAAATTTATGTTGCTAAATGACAAATTTGTAAAGCGAGTTTTGCCCCATTTTTATCACTTTCTTTGATTTGACTATGATCCTAAGTGCCTTTGTCCCTTCATAAAGTTTATACTTGACTGTTTCCTAGTATTTGATTGCTTATTGTACCCTATGACTATTATTAAGTGTTGTGCCTTATGGTTCTTGATGAATGTATCTTTTCTTTTATGTACACTAAGAGCATTTGCACCAAGACAAATTCCTTGTGTGTCCAATCACACTTGGCCAATAAAGAATTCTACTCTACTCTACTCTACTCTACTCTACTCTACTCTACTCTACTCTTCTGGAAGTTCTCATGTATTTTTAGAGCTTTAACTTCAAAATTTTAAAACATTATCTTATTAGCATGTAAAATATGTAATTTGTTAATTTTTGTGGTGTTGCAATACACCGTCCTCAATTTACAGCAGTTCTTTTAGTAACCATTCAAAGTTACAACAGCACTGAAAAAAGTGACATGTCCATTTTTCACAGTTCTACCTTTCCAGCATCCCTGTAGTCATAAGATCAAAATTCAGATGCTTGGCAACTGGCTCATATTTGCTGTGTCTCAAGATCAGGGGATCCCATTTTGTGATCTTCTGACAAGCAGTCAGTAGGGAAGCCAGATTTATTTAACAACTGGGTGACTAACTTATAAACTGCAGTGATTCACTTAACAACTGAGGCAAGAAAGGTCATAGAATGGGGTAAAATTACTTTAAAATATCTCACCTAACAATAACAATTTTGCGCTCAAAATTTTAAGTACCTATACTGATTTTTTGGCCAGTATGTTTTTCAGGTCTGCTTACAAATTGCAAACAATGTATCAACAGCATTGCCTTACAAGATTTTAAAAACCTACGTTGGCATTTCATCAACACCTTTGCTGTTAACTGGATTTTCTAGAGTCCATTTAATTTCACTTTCCAAAATGTTTGACTTAATGATTATATTATTATGTTAGTGATAGTGTTGATTTACCACTTAAAAGAAGCGAAGAGATAAGTATAAGTATCCCCAACATGACAGCAATTGGGACCAGAGTTTCCTTTGCTAAAAAAAATCCTTTGATATGATTATAAACCATGATAGCAACCTCTGCAGTTCCAGTTGCCACAGTTATAGAATCCTATGGTTGTTAGGCAGGTTAATTTCCTGCTGGCTTCCCTCAGTCAAATCTGTGTAGGAAGCTGGCAGGAAGTTTCAAGTCCCAAAAGCTTGCCAAGGATTTGGCAGGCAGGTAAATGGTTGCTGCTGGATGGGAAAGGGTGCAAGATTGAAATGGAAACAGTGAGGCTTGGAAAGAGTGCAGGGGATAGATGAGGGTGGAAGAGAGGGTGGAGGGTGTATGGAAGGTTCTGAGATGATGTGTGGAAGCGTGCAAGGGAGCTACAGTGTCGCTCAGGAACGAGAAGGGCACAATGAATCAGGAAAGATATGCATGGGTACGAGGTATGGCAAAAGCCATGGAAGTTATATGAAGGTATAAGAGAAGTGCTGTTAGATTCAAAAGGACATTAACAAAACTTAATAGTATGCAGGGATATTTGCAAATAAAGTATAGTGGTGGAAGGGGAAGGCCTGGCAAAGTTTTAGGGAGATGTAACAAAGATCAGAGAAAGAGAGGCACATGAATGGTGGTGGTGGTACTGGGAGGCTCAAGAAGGGGTTGCAGAAGCGCACAAATGAACAATGAAATGAACAATAGAGGTTAAGGGAGGATTCATAATTGAGGAAAACTTATCCCAGAAACTTCAGACCTTCCCTGCAGTTTCCCCATTGATTTTCTGAGTTAGCCAGCACAGAAGATCCAAATGGCAATCCCATGAGTCTTTGAATTATAGTTAGAAAAGTATTTTACAGAAAAATATGATTAAGGAGTATAAAAAGAAATTAAAGGAATATATTGATAATTGGATAAAGAAAAAGACTTAATGACTGTTTGGATGCAAGTGAAACTTATGAGGGGTTATTTTACTCAATTCAGCTGTTTGGAGAAGAAGAAATCTCAACAGATAGAAAAGATACAGGATGAAATTAAAATTACAGAAACTAAACTGCAGAAAACATTAATAGACTCTAAAATTCTACATCTAAT